GAACAGAAAGTGTTTCCTCGATTAATATGTCTCATCTAGATGGCGTCTAGTGTGTGTGTATTTGTGTGTGGGGGGGACTGTGCATGTCAGGAGGTATGATAAACTGTGTTGTTCTTAATCTTAAAGAAAATTCTTAGACCCAAATATGTTTCAAGTTACTGCGCAAAGTTGGACTTATGTGGTTAAAAAATTAATCATGTTTAATATCTAATTGCTTTACTGCTGACAACGTGGCTAATTTTTAGCTATATTATCTTTGTAGATAAAAATCTGACCTTACATGCTTGTGCTGTGACCTAGCGAGGATGTAGTGCCAGTTTTAGTATTAATTAAGTTATTTAAGCTCTATCAATGTTTTTTTGTTTTGTTTTGTGTGTGTGTTTGTTTTTCAACTAATCATGATATCACACCTAGGCCCTTTACTATGCCTAATACTGTTTTTTTCTCACTAAATTTTATTTTTGTATGTCAAAGTCTGGGACAAATTCTAATTAGTAATTAGTAATTCATTCAAAGTCAACAGCAAATGCTTTTGATTTACTGCAAGTTGCAATATTTATGGTATCATCCATTGATCTTCATGGTACAGTCAGCTAATTATTTTATTTATTTGTTTTTATTTAAATGTTAAACTTTTTTATATTAATTTTTTTTATCTGTTTTATCGTCTGGTGATTTTTCTTGAATATGTGGGGATATACTTTTTGTCTTTGGCCCTTTGACTGAACATCAGGTTATAAATGGGTATTGTTTTCAAAAGATGTCTGCAACTGTCTGCAGCAGCAGAAAGTAGTGTGAGCATGTTGCATGTTTAATACGGTTCTCTGAGGAAGACACAAATGAGGAGACAGTTTTTCACATGCTTTGAAGTGTGGCCCAAATCACAGACCTAGCTCATTATTTTCATATACTATCAGCTCAGCTGCTCTTGAGGATCAAACGATTCAAATCCTTCAAAGTGGATTCCAAAGATAAAAATAAAAGGTTTCCAGGTTTCCAAAGATAAAAATAAAAGTCCTTACATTTTATTGAACAAATGTCATTTATGTACTAAAATGTGTGCATTTATCTACACCACATAAACAAATGTAAGTGAACACACTGATTTAAACTGACAGATTAGGCTTTTAGAGAAACTCTAGTGGTGACTATGTAAAGTGAAATAAATAAAGTTATTGATAACTGAAACTAAATTTTGAAAAAAGTGTATTTTATATATATATATATTATTATATTATAATAATATTTTATTTAGGGTATGTACTAAAAGCTGAAACTAAAATAAAAAGAATCAAACTGTATATTTTAAAACTGCTAATAAAAATGACAAAAAAAACTTTCATTAAATTTCAAATGAAAATGGAAAATATTAATTAAATAAATATATTTTTAAAAGGTACTTACATTAATTCTTCTGTTACAACTTGTTCATTACTTGAGTCGTAAAGCTCAAATTTTAGTAAGTGATATATACAGCACATTTATTTTGAAAAATGTCTCAGTATTGTTTTTTTTCCCCAGATACAATGAAATGCAATAGGGTCCAATGTTGCTTTGGACCCCACTGACTTTCATTGTGTGGCCAAAAAGAGTTCTTTTGTGTTTCACAGAAGAAAGAAAGTCATGCAGGTTTGGAACACACATATTTCGTGCTGTTCAGGTTACCACATTGTTGTGTATAATATGAGTCATAATATGAGTCACATAATAAGATTGATGGCATTGTGTGATCAGTCTATTTGGAGATTTTGCAGGTGTGTCTGTTCATGTGTGTGTAATTTCAAACAGTGCTGCTATGTGCTTATCCTGAGAGACCGATGCAATTGGACAGAGGAGTGACAACAGCTGTTGAACAACAGATGACACACAAAACAGTAATTACTGTACGCACAGATGCATTTAAGATTGCCTTTCTGAAATTAATTCTGGATCCTTCAATCATCAAACGTGTGTATGTGAGTGTATAAAACATCAAACCTTTGTTTTCCCCTATAGCAATCATTCTTCCATCATTACTTCAATTACTTCAGAGAGCAGCTCAGAATAATGATGAAGGAACTAAACCACTTTTATACAGTACTCACGGTCAATATTTGCATAATCGAACCAGGATGGAGGTAAGGATAGAGAGAAAAAATACATGTCGCTGGGTGTAGTGTTTGCGTTTACAGGATGATGAAATTATATTTTGTATGTTGTTAAGTTTTGATTGTGGATGTAAATTACAGGATGAATAAAGGTTCAAAATAACACATGAACAGTAAGCATACAAAAGCAGCCATAAATCAAACAAGCACCTATACTTTCACACCGATACCTGATATACCCACACACACACACACCCATGTTTTCATTACGTAGCTTTAACCATCTGACCATATAGATTAAGTAGATAAAGCGGCAACAATTTCAGTAGTTCTTTGTTGCTAAGGGAACAGAACACCAGCACACTTGTTCTAGGTCACAGACTTCTAACACCCATCCTCATGCTGGTAATTAGTTTGCTATAGATCTTTGTACAGACATGTTAGTGACCCTTGTTTCTGATATACAGGACTGTTACACAAACTGAAGGATTTCTGTCTGCCTTATTTTTTCTCAACACCCCACACCACCACCCATATCCCACACTCCTTTCATCATACCCTTGCTCTTTCTCTTTATGCATCTGATGCTTCCCAGCTCTTTTGTTGCAGATATATTAGTGACCTTGTGATTTACACAAGTCCTCTTTTCCATCTAAGTACCTGCAGTCTGAGTGCTTTAAAATACCCTGTTTATGTACACTTAAATTGATGCATTTCATCACATCTGTGTAGGCGTGTGTTATGTGGGATTTGTTTTTGTCTGGGTGCATGCGTGGATAAATTCTGTATCACTTTATTAAGACACAATGGGGATTTGTTATTTTGCTGAAAATGATTGGGCTGTACGCCATCACTGATCCTTTGATTAACCCATTTAATGCTTTCTTCTCATTTTAATGCTTTTTTCTAATAGATGGTCACACACACACACACACACACACACACACACACACACACTGGTTTTCATGTTTTATGGTGACATTCAATAGGTGTAATGGTTTTTACTGTACAAACTAGGGATGCAACAATACAGTTAACCCACGGTTCAATACATACTACCTAGTGTCAACCTTTTACATTTGTTTGCCTCTCTCTCGCTCTCTGTGCTCACATATTGCATTTTAATACAGCCAATTCCTTAATAAAACGGTTTTCATTTATATATTGTTCTGTTTCTCTTCTCAGACAACAAGATGAATATAAAATTATGATTGAAACACGGCCCATTAAAGGCTATATATCCAGTGCTCCTTTCCAAGCCGTTAATCTGCACTAAAGTCCCCAAAAGGAAAAAAATTACTGGTGTTACTATCCTTGTGGGGACATTTGATCCCCTTGACCTAGGGAATACCAGGTACACACACACATACACACACACACACACACACACACACACACACACACACACACACACACATACACACACAATGGTTTAACTATTTTAAACACAGGACACAATTCAATGGTAGGTTTAACACAAATCCTAATGAAACAAAAAGGATTTTGTGAGTCTATCAAAAAATAGAGAACCACTTGACAAGTCAGTTTTTGACAAGTCATGTTTATTTCACTTATCTAAATGGGGACATACCATGCATTTATTGTTTTTATATAAAGGTAATGATAATTGCTACAGACTACACATAACTTTAACCCTTATAAACTTTATTTATGCTTTATTTATGGATTGTTTTATCTAATTAAGGACGTTCATGGATGTCCCAAAGGGAGGTTTTAGATTTAGCTCACTTCTGGGAAGACATTTGTCCATAAATAAAACTGTACAAACACTGTAAATATGGTCCTGCACATGAGAGATCTCATCCTGATGTTTCCATATTTATCAGCTGAACCCCAATTTAAAAAATGTGAATTATGTAAAATGTAGGCTGCCTCCTGAGATTTTCAATATATAAACTTTAATAATTAGCCTAATAAATGTAGTGCTTCAGAGTAAAGAAATAGTTTTATTTGATGCATTATATATTAATAATGTTTAAATATGTAAAAGTGTTTTTCATTTAATTTAATTTTTCAGTTGCATTCCTAGCATGAACTCACGAACCTTCTGCATTTCCCTCATGAACCTCTACTAAATAAAATTAACACGAGTTCATTAAATGCACAGTAATCTAGCGCAACCTGCTGGTCGTTTTAGGTAGTGGGCAAATCTGGCAGCTGGTACAACACACACATACATAATAATAACAACAAAACTCTCTTATATTGAATATATTATATCAGTAATTGCGTTATAAAATATGCCTAAACACTTCCAAATGATAGGTTTAGGGAAAGTTTGCTTATGTTCAAATATTTTATCAATATAATATTGAAAGAATAGTGGCTCAATGTTTAACTGATCATATCTAAAAGTCTAAGAGATTTTAAAATGCCCATTGTTGCTGTGCCACATATTTCATCAGGCTGTCAAAAATGTTATGTTAAAACAGGTGCCAAGTACATCTAATTGCAATCTTTGTTCCCAAGATATGATTCTGATTCTGACGTAAGATAGGCCTATTTAAACCTGTGGATCAGTTGTTCTTGCATTCTGATATTAGTGATTAGTGTTGTTGATTGCAATTTTTTTGTGCATTTATTCCAATTGAATTATATTCAATGAATTATTATTATTATTATTAATCAAAAGTAAAAACCTTTAAGAGTTTAAAGTTTTTTTAGGGACGGTTTCTTGTTCTTTTAATATGTATAGCGTATGAAAGGGAAAGACATCAGATGTTCCAAGAACTGGAATTATAAAATTTTTTTTTTTTTTTTTTTCTTTTATCTATAATAGTTGAATAATTCATAGCTGAACTGTGTACGTTTCACACTCCAGACCAGTAGGTGGCGGACATGCACCTTTAACGTTGGTTTGCCAATCCGCCAAAAAACTCGAGAGAAGAAGAAGAAGAAGAAGAAGAAGGGACGGTTTCTGGTTTTGTAACGCGCTTTGTTTTCCACTGGTAGCCGCTTTTGTGCCGCTCCACTATCACAGCTCTAACTCAAAGTTTGGCTGAATTGTTGTCCACTGGGGGCGCCAGAGTCCAGCCGTTACATTTCTTGCTTCAACTCTTGTGAATCACGGCGTTGTCACTGGTCCAGTTTCACCCCGCCCGTCCGTCTGGTGTCCGCCGCGCGGTCGCTATGGACGCACGCTACTTTGTTAAACTACTCCAACTTGGATTATCGGACGTTTAGTGTCGGCTTTCGCCTTCGCCGCGACTGAAGAGACTCGCCAGACGCGGAGTGATGAACAGCGACCCCGAAAATACGCCTGTATATCCGTGAACCTCCATCCGGACACAAGTCAATGCTCAGACGTTTGTAGACGTCTTTAGTTGTTGTGTAGTTGTTTCAGTGATGTTACTCGGCAAAACGTGATTGTGTTACCCTATAGTCTCTACGCTCTCTTAGGAAAGATAGTATTGAATGCCATAAACGTTTAACGGTGTAACGTTAAATATTGTCCTCTGTACGCCACTGCCAGGATCTAACGTTACTGTTACCCGAGGTTTGAATAGAACTCCAGCCCGGGGCTCGGAAACCGGCCCACTTCGGGACATTTTTGCCTTTAAGGAACGCATGGGGTTTTACAGACGAAGGCTCTGCTTAAACGAAGGAGTCGGAAGCGTTAGAGGAAATGTTCGAGATTTAATAAAAGGAGATCTTTTGTTACATGTGAATGCACGCGGACAGAATGGCTTCATATGTGGACAATAGTTTTCGGCACGCGATTATAAAGAATCCTGCCGACAGGACGCAACAGGTAAGAGACCACTGCACCAATGCTGCCTAGATAGGGAACACGCTAGATTTTGAGACAGCTTGTGCGTTTGTGATTGTTTACTTGGTTTGCGGCTACACAATAGCAGTTTGAGAGACTGGTGGACTGGCTGAATGAAACAATGTATACAACTAGAAAACGGGTTATATAACTCAAGCTGACCTAAAATGTCTACAGAAAACTGTTTATGCTATTTAAGCTGTCTCAGTTATTAATCAGACTGTAAAACTAGAACTACAAAACGGTTTATATACAACGCAAGGAAACAGTTTAGCTGAATTAATTGTTTCATTTAAACATTTTCAATCAGCTTGAAATAGTTTCATTTCGACAGTTGACTTAAAATGTCTAAATAAAACACTGTCGCCATCTCATAGTGGCATTGAATACATTGTTTCATCTAGACCAGCTTGTTTAAAGGCGCCACAAGCTCCAGTTCGACTCATTTTTGGGGAATTGTGGTGTCCCTTTATTATGCAGTCGAGCAAGTTGCTATTTTGTTCCACATCTACGTTCAGTTTAGTCGTAATCTGAGCCCAAAGGGTTTTTTAAAGCGTTGCTTAATATAGTCACACTCATTAGAGTTGGAAGGACCTTGTTTCTGTGGTATTTCAGACGCGTATTACTCATCTGTCGGAAGGGAGTATTTCCTCACCGTGCCCTTCAGTCCAGACTAGATCATCCTCATTTAAACCATCTGAAATAAACAAATGTCTCAGCACCATTTAGCCCCAGACCACAAGCTCATTAGAGTTTCAGCTCTGTAAACGACCAGCATTGTATGAATGTCTGAGCACACTGAACCTCCTGTCTGTGGCCACTTAAAACTACTTTGAGTTCTGTGTGTGGGACTTTTGGGTTGTGAGTTTCAAGCCCAGGAATTTAATGAATCAAAAGAATGTGAGGAATGTAGTTTATAGTGTAGGCCATTCAGATCTGGGCCTCTTTGTGCTGCCATGAAGAATTAAAGCACTTCCTTAAAGGGATTCACGTTTTGTTTATACTCATACCCCTGGTTTCACAGACAAGGTTTAAGCCTAGTCCCAGACTAAAGTGTAAGTCTGAGCTGTTTTAACAGAAAGAAACTTGCACTGACTGATCTTAAAATATACCAGTGCCTCTGTTTTGTCTCAAAATGCACACCAGTAATGTTTTTTCTAAGGCACGTTAATAAAAATTACTTAAATGTCCTAATTGAACTATCGCCTAGTCCTGGCTTAGTCTAAGCCCTGTCTGTGAAACCAGGCCTTAGTGTGATATGTTCAGGTACATCACTAATTCCAAGAAAGGATTACGGATCAGGCCCTGGGACCTCTGAGTTCCAGGGGTCTCAAGCTGAGAGAAACCCAAAAGCCACTGTTGGCCCAGTGTGAAAAATTAATGAAGAGATAAGCACTAACACCTTCTGAACACATTATTGCAGCTTTGATGTTGTGTACTAACTTTTGCATAATTAAATAATTGCATTGTGTCTCTGACTGCAAACTATTAGTTAGAAATCTGGGGAAGTAACCAAAAGGGGTTGTATGTATATTTAAATCTGCTAAATGTTGATCCATGAGCTATTAACCTTTGTGTGCTTTAGCAAGCAACTGGAAATTCCATTTTCAGTAAAAAGTGTTTTGTGACTGTCACTTTGGGTAAGTGTCAGCTCAATAATAAATTAGTAATATTAGTCTAGTCCACTAGCTGATAGATTTTCAGTTGGTTATTAATGTGGGCCCTTGTAATCAGATTAACATGTTAAAGTAGTATACTCACTACTCACTCATCGCGAAGTTCATTCTTCATTTTTCATTCTTCATTCAGGGGTGAAAAGAAGTTTGAAATACCTTTGCAGAGGTATACTGTTAGCGAACATCCCAACGTGTTTAGATGGATATGTAAATATGTGCTGCACGCTTTCCTCTCAAAAACAAAATAAACACAACAAAATTGACAGCAGTGAAAAAACGGCAGTTAAGAAAGCATCTGATCATAGTGATGTGAATATAATATAACACAATGTAATATAATATAATGTAATACAGTATAATATAATGTGCACAAGCTCTGCAATTCCGTACTCCAGTCAAGTCATGTCATGTTTATTTATAGCACTTTATTCTGTTTGCTCGAAAGCAAGCAGCTTTACGGTATTAAAAAAGGGAAAAAAACAGCACCAGTTATATGCCTATAACTTTTTTTTTTTTTTATCTCAAAGTTTAACGTAATATTTACAAATAGCAGTAATTTAGAAATCTACTACTTATCCCCAAACAGTGCAATTTAATGTCAAATACAAAGAGTTCTGTTGTTGCACTATTTGCATTGAGTTGTTAATTTTGTTTATTAATTTATTGTGGTGGTCAGACATAGACTGTGCATGTGGGTTAGTCACTCTGATGATTGTGGCAAATAAACACATTTGTGGTTCTAGTAGAACTATATTGGAAAGTGTTGCAACCCTCCCTGCATGATTAGTTATGATTTTACGTTTTTTAAACATGTAGAAGAAAAGACTGACAGTGTTATATATCAAAATAAACACAAAAAGCCTTTTTATATGATAAATTTACGTCCATTAACATGATCACAAATCAATTATGTACCAGATGTAGTTGTTTTTTGTCCTTTTAATTAGTGCTGGGCGGTATGACCAAAAATGTTAAAACAACAAACAAAAAAGTGCATGTGATATTAACAGACGAACTATGCTCATATTTATAATTCCAAACAATCAGTAAGCGGCAGGTGCTAGGAAACGCTGTTTTGTACTCATTTATTGAAGAGTCTGAATTCGCTGCTTCTCTGCCGCTCACTGCACAGAACAGACGCCGAGAGAGGCGACACTTCTCCGGGAAAGTCAGACCTCGCGTTCGCGGGACAGCACTGGTGAAATCTTCCAACTGAACCATAGCTAAGGTTTATCCAAAAAAGTCGCTAGGTTTGTCAGTATGAATGTTCTATGGAAAAAAGCCGCTAAAAGGGTCTGAAAGTTGCTAAATCTAGTGCTAAAGTCGCGCTCGTGTGTGTGAGACGTGGGAGCTGATGGCAGGGGGCGGTGGATATTTGTGGCGGTCAATGTGGATATTGTGGATGAGTTCTTCTGTGTCATCACATTCTATTAGTTCTACAGCTTCAGTTTCGGAACTTTCAGGCTTAAGTAACATACAGCTGTGTCCTCACCACAGTGCAACAGTGAAAAGGGACCCCTTTCAAACAGTGTCGCGTTCCGAACGTTGTTTAAG